AAATCCTCTTAGGCTTTTTCTTAGCATACTGACCCCTACATATGGGCAAAATATAAGCAAAATCGGCGTGAATCACTTGAAACGGTTCCCTCGTCAGTCAAAACCCTTTTAACAGATCGCGACTGGTATTTATGAATCTGCAAAATAGTGTTCTAACAATCTCATAGTAGTATAAGTAATTTCTTCATTTACATGTATGAAACGAGAGAATAAGCATAACAGTATAATTTATAAATCGTATCGAAACATTTTTGTTGTGACTAGTTTTAATTCTTTAAGTGTTACGTTTTTTTTTTTGAAATTTAATAGTAAGCTTTTAAAAATTTTTCCGATAAATATATATGTAATAATTTTATATTGCACTACATATAGTAGTAATATTACAATAGCAGATTGAAAGCAATTAAATTTTTACAATAATGAGTTCGAAAATAAAAGTCTTGCTTAAAAATTTAGAAGAATCTTTGTACTTAAAGTTTTTCGAAAGAAGCTTCATTGTTTTTTTGTGTATGTATAATTCACTATATAGTTTTGTTTGTCACTGTTATCTAGAAATGAAAATAGAAGAATAAATTGAAAAACAACTGTCAGCTCACGAATAATATTCGAGAAGAAAAGTTTTATTGAACATAGAAAAACTACCCTTGACAAAGAGAACGATAATCAATATGAAATGTCAGAACTGATAGAGTAAGATCCGATCAATGCAGGATGTTAGAGAATTAATAGAGAGTACACAAAAAAAGTAAAGTTAATTAATTGTACTTTTCATTTGTTTTCTTTGATGTATGTATACATCAAGAACAGTTAAGAGGCTAATAGTTATATGTCTGAAATAGTTCTATAAATCTCTTACAATGCATTTTTATCTACGAAAGTTTATAATAGATAAGGAAAGGTATTGTCCATGTGTCTATTATTCATACACTCTCTATAAATATCTTCTTAACTGGATATATATTAGAAAATATTATTAAAGCCTTCTCGTTTACAGTAAAATAAATCAAATATAAACAATAATATTTAGATTTGTATTCTAATTAAACAATGAGTTTCAACCAGGACATAGATCTAGAAATTACTAGTTCTTATGTCTTTTCTTTTGGATTTATGACCTAGAGAACGTTATAGGACATTCAAGTTACTTTATTGATCGTGATGCGAACAAGTTCTAGCCTGCTAGTGGAATTCGCCATAGTTTTCTATTATTATCAATAATAGCCAGAAGAATAGATGTTATACTAGCGGCTACTGGTTCAGTAGAAAAATTATTCAACTCAGCCGGGTTGACATTTACTTCAAGACCAGCATGTTTAAAATAAAGTCAATCGATAACATATTATTTATTCGTTCATACGAGAAATTCAAGAAAAAGCAATAAAAAGAAAACTAATTGCTGCAAAACTCATGATAAGGTTTATTAACAGGATAGTACAACTATGATATTTGACTTCGTATCTCATATATAGACAAAATTGTTATTCTTTATCAAAAGTGCAATGAGCAGATCATCTTATAAAACAGGATGATTGAGTGATACTGTCCTGTAGTAGTGAATAGATCATTATAAATTATAAGAAATTAAGTTTAGGATGCGAACAATGTCACTCACTCGTTTTTTTTCTATTTGGGACAAGTATTGTTTTTGTTCTATTTCTGATACAATCATATTGCGACACCTTTCTATTGTATATTTATTATAAGAATAAAAGTGTTCGGAAATTTTAGGGTTAGGAAATTGTTAGTTTTGAGTGCTTCATAGAAAGTTTTACGTGAGGTTCAGATGATTTAATAAACTACCAATCCCATATGTTTACCTCTTGATATATTTACATAAATAATTCTCTTCTATTGTAATTTCAATAAAATTGAAATAATTCGAGTTTATTTTTTTATTGACTACATCTGTCAGACATCTAACCAATGAAAATTTCAGATTATTTTCAATGACTCATCCATATGATTAGGTCAGAACAGATGAATTGACTAAATATTCACAGAGAAATCGAATTATGTTTGTTTACATATTCATAAATAATATGAAAAGAAAAAATTATTTTTTCTTGCCATTGTAAAAAAAGAAGCTGTCATATGTCTATAGAACCAATAAGAACAAAATCAACATTGTCAATAAATCGAGAAAAAATGGTTCACAATAGTTCAGATGATCATGAATTAATATCTTCAACAATGAGTGAAGATAGTCACACACCATTATCAGAAACAGTGACTACATTAGCTAGTAATGTTTATAAAGAATTAGAACGTATTATTAAAAATTTTGGTGAAAATAGTGTTAAAGATTTAATGCCAGTTATGATCTCAACATTAGGTATAAACAAATGTTTTCTTGTTTTTTTCATACATAAAGTTTTCTTTTTTTCTTAGAATCACTTGATAGTGCATTACATGAACGAGAGGTAAATAAACTTGAAATTGAATCATTAAAAGAACAAACTGAACAGTTATATCAACAATATGAACGTGAAAAAAGTTTTCATAAAGAATATCAGCAGGTATATTTTCTGTTTTTTGTTTCTATCAAAATTTAATGATTTATGTTTATTTAATATTTTTAAGCGTTATCTTCAAGTTGAAGATCATCTTGAAGAAATAAAACGTGAAAATGAAGAAAAATTACGAAGCCTTGAATCAATTGTAAAAATTTTTGAAATTAAATCACGTAATGCATCGGATCATGTTGGAAGATTAGAAGATAAAGAAAATGAAATGAAACAAGAATATAAACGTTTACATGATCGATATTGTGAAGTATAAAAAAAAAAATTTTCTTTTTTCAATATTTAATAATATCGATTTTCTGAATTTAGTTATTCAAGGTTCATTGTGATTATATGGAACGAACAAAAATTTTATATGGAACTGATCGATTAGATCAAACAACTACTAATGCACATACAAGTTCTCAATCTCGGTTCGTTTTTTCATGACATATAAGACTAATCTTAAGTATTAAATTTGATATTATATTAAGCAATAGCTTGTTAAAAAAAAAAAAGAACACGTCTATTTTCTGCAATATCCTATGAAATGTTGAACTATTGAGGTATAAGTAAATCTTGACAGGACTCATTAAAAAAATTTTCTGAAAAGATAAAAATCGTATTTTTCTGAAGACAATTATGCGGTAAGGATGGAGAGTTTGAAAACAATTTACTGCTTTGTAGAGAATTATTTTCTGTATCTGCCAATATATTCGATAGAACTCTGTGGCATGTCTCAAACTAGTTCGATTTAAGTTTTGAGTCTCTTCAACATTTACTTGTAACTGAAAAGTCATAGAAAATATGAACAATAGTTAAATATTGTGTCTAGAATATATTGATAATTAAATTCAATTTATTGTTTATTTTTGGCTTAAAACAAGGATGTAAACTATCTGATAGTTTTATTTGATTTTGATATTTTATTGCAGAATCGGAAGTCCTACTATTTAACATTTTCACTCATATGATTTCTTCTAAGTTGTTATTTTTTATTCTATGAAATGACATAGAGTATGAAATGAAAGATCGGAAAATATATTATAATTAGAAAATTGTCTGGCGGGCATAAATAATCGAGTTGATTTCGATCCGAATACTATCTATACAATATTTATCTTAATGATTAGATTATCTATAGAGAAAATAGATAATTTTTACAAAAATAAATATCTTCTTCGTAATGAACAATTTATTGGAGTTTACTTTCGTTTCTTTTTTTTTTTTCAAATTTTCTTTTCTAATGAATAGCTCATATTAGCATAATACACATTTTAATGTAATCAATCATGCAAATATAACACAAATAAATGAACATCATTTTGTGAACTATTTTGTTCTAAATAAAATTAATAATAGCTCATTTATTTTCGATAAATATTCTAATAACTCAAACAAATTTTTTTCTTCTTGGAAAAAAATTTAAATAAATCTCGAAATTAGGGATAGCGTCACACCTAGAACATTGGCGTCGCTCTGGCTTTAGAAGAGCAGTGACAAATGACACTCTTGTTATGTGCATTGTATTATCAAGAATACATGGTGATAATAGAGTAGCAGTACTCTTCATTTCCTTTCCCAGTACAACAGAGAAGCTAGTGTTATAGCTCATCCTTAGCTAATGTACTGGTGACTGACACTGATCAAGACATGTATGCATAGAATAATGGTGAAGATAGTGAACGTATGATAAAAAGACGGGTGATCTTAGATTCATTTCGTCTATTTCGAGAAAATGAGTGAATTTCATAAAATATGATTAAACTGTGAGAACTAACGAGAAAAATGTGAAAACATCGGATTTAAATCCAAGTGTTATGTGTACTTCAAAAAGTGAAGAGGTATATTCACTTTGTTTTTTATCAACTGAGATATATCTAGGCAATTTGCTTTCTGAATGCAGTTTTTTGTGCATTTTGAAACCTTTTTCAGGCGATGTTTTGTTAAAAAACTACGATTTGGTTCAAAACTAATATCAGATTCGGAATCAGCGTTAAAAACTGAGTCGATTTATATATGTTGTGAATAATTCTTAGGAAAAAATTTTTTTTTTGAAAAAATCCCTGTACCCTTCCTCAGGGATGGTCCGGCCAATAATGACAATTTTTTCGATAACTCAGCCATTTCTTGACGGATCCTTCTCATCTTCGAACTCGACCGAGACATTGTTAAGACTGAACTGTGTAGAAAATTTCATCGCGATTGGACTCTCCTTTCAAAAGTTATCGTGTTAACGGCCGGCCGGACGGACACACTGACCG